TTCTGAACATAAGGTCATCAAAAGAGCAAAATACACTAAACAAAGTAAATGTAGGAATTCAGGAATCATGTCAGAGTTCAGAGTGTCCGTGCACTTTGCTCTCTAATGGCCTTTCATGTCAAGCCAAATTTATTCTGTCAACAAACACAAAAGTTTCAACGGAAATACTGAGATGGTTCTCTCTCATTTTAACTGTGCTGTGATGGCAGTGAACTCCGAGCAGGTAAGTTTAAAATCAGAGGTTAACATTTGAAAGTTAAAGACAGTTTTCTTTTGTTAACAGTATATTTAAAGAACACTTGCAATAACAGCATTTCTGATGATACAGACAAAAATACTAAACATTCAGTAAAACTGTGTTTATTGTATGCAGTATTTATGTCTTATCTTTTTCTGATGAAAAAGGTGAAATAAGACTGCATGGGTAAGCACAAAAGTAGCATAGACAGTATTTTCCCTGGAAATGTTAAGTACAACATAACTGGCTTCACAGTTTAGTTTTACAATGACTAAAATAACTTGACCTTGAAAATATTTTCTTCCTGGGATGTTCTGCAGTCGATTCTGCAGTGTTAAACGATTACTGGAGGCTTCCTCTCAGACATGCCTGGGCTCTTTTTTTTTATTGTTGTGTGCGCTAGGGAACACAAGCTCATGGAGTTGCTATAGCAATCATACCGCAATATGATATTTTATAGCATTTAAAAATGAATACCATTATCTCAGACAATATGATGCGACACAGGTCTAGCTGACACTGGACGTATCGATGGGCATCAAGGAAATGCCCTTCGATACGTGCACTGTTTCTTCATGTCTTTTGAAAAGGTGTTCCATGGCCTCGGAAGGGCTTGGAACTGTGAGTCACTGGCAGTTTGTCTGTAAATGTCAGTGAATGAAGCAGCTGATCTGCTCCCAGCGTTGTTGTCCCTCCTCCTTCCTCTCACCTGTTTGGAAATCAATCCTCTGAAACAGGCTATGAATATTTCATCAGTCTGAACCTGAGCTCAGAGTACACTGTGAAACATTCACATTACAAGTCTGTACAAATTAGATGAACTAAAAACACAAGTGCAGATACAGTTGCTTTTTTCCCCACCTATGCAGCTGATCATGTTAAAGCAATAATTATCAAACATTTTGCACCAAAGGGGACAACCAAGATGTCAACCAAATCTCTTTACATAAACACAAGCATATTTCTCCAATATTTCGTGCTCAGTAAGAGATGATCTGAATGGACCTCTGTGGTTCAGTTTTATCCCAAGAGATGACCCTACTGTTTCAGACCATATTTGCTGAATAAACGAGGGTTTCTCTCCAGCTCTTCCTAAAGTAAGTGTTCTTGTGGTGCTAGAGACAGAAAAGGTTCACACAGCTACCATCTGCTGTGTTTAATTATTCGTGCTGCTTGAGAAGCATCTCACAAACCAAACAACTAAACCGCCAACACAAGGCTCTCAGCAGTGTTACAGTGTGGTAATCCGGCTCGATCCTCGGCGCCTGTCAGAGGTTTGAAACGGCTTTCCGAGAGTTTGGGCCGAGCGCCAAACCCGACAGAGCAATCATCGAGATGAGGAATGATAAAAATGACTCAGCAGCTACAGAAATTAATGATGTTTTATGTATTGCTGGAACATTGGATCCAGACCTGAATGTTGGACTTGAGTTTTTATTCTTTTATCTACTTTATTTAACTTGTTAATCTCCCATAATTTGAGCAAACTGTCTAAGCCATTGGTTTTCAGACCTGAATCTATCGAACGTTTCCCATCTGAGCAGGATGTTTCTGCATCACAGGAAGAATCAAGTGTAGAAGCTTAGCAGAAACTCATGTTTGCTCATGCTATGATGGTAGTTGTCTCTGCTTTGCAGGGAGACTCAGTCTTTTGTTATCATGCTTTCATTAGTGGGCGATTTGGCTCCCGTGTGACGTTTAGCCGACCCTGCTGTGCAGCTGAGAGATTATCGGCCTCCTCGGGTGACAGTAATGTGATCCAGGCTGTCACCAACACATTCCTGCTGACTGCAAACTGCTGTCCAGCTCTGACCAACAGCAGAGGGAGTTTAGTTTGAAGTGTGGAGATGCGCTACAACCTAGAAGGAGCATGAATTGTGGATATTTACCTGAGGAAGGTTTGGGAGTATGGTCACAGTTTCCATTTGGGTGTATTGAGAAACTTTCAGGAGCAACTGAACTGGAGCAGAAACCAAAATGAATGTGTGAAGATCTCCGATATATGAGTTCAAGGCTTTCACAGTAGTATCTCGTTTTCTTTTAGTTTGATGAATGGAGAATTTTTAATTAAAGTTTAATTTACATGCTTTAATGAAGGGATCTCAAACTTGCTCTTGTTTATCATGAACTGATCCATTGCTAAATACCACCTCAAATTAAACTAAATATATTTTGTGACAATAAAGGAGCAGTATCAGTGTCACTGTCTTTCAGTGACTTTCTCATCCCATCCACAATCTGAAGCTGCTGTTTGTGACTTGGTTAGCTCTCCACCTGCAGCAGGTTCTGGAAGCAGATCTTCAAATCAGATGCAGGACTGCTGCGTGCAGTCCAAGAAGCTGGAGTTGGAGTCTGTCATTCTGCAGGATGAGAGTGGTGACCAGATCACTCTATGAGGAAGGCTCAGTACTAAGTGCTTAACTTTAAAAATGATAGGAAGGGGATCAAAAGACAATGCATGTTTAAATCAGTTGTTTAAAGTCTGGCCCTCTGAGAATGTCCTGAAGTGTTGCCCATCCCTCCCCCAGATGGTCTAAATTTTACCCTGTTGGGGGATGAGCAGACGACCCGTGTCCTCCTGCTGGGGCCTGATTTGGAGTCCTTCCCAGACAACTTCACCCCCTCAAACTTTGCTGAAATCCTGTGAGTCTTTATTCTGTCCTTTATAATAAAGGCCAAAATAAATCAAATCTTACCGTTGTACTAACAGTAAGCAAACAAACACGCTCTGTATTCTCGGTGCAACTCTGTGTCAGAGGCTGCTGAACTCGGAGGTGTCCCGTCAGCAGTTAGTTAAGAGGAATGTTCCTCCCTGCTGTCAGAGAGAAAGCGTGGGCCATCTGTCGTCCCGAACACAAACAGGAGTCGCAGCTTCTTTAATGACCACATGCTGGGGCAGTTGTTTTCTTCTCACCCTCCCAGACATTTTGTTGGCCAGTTGCTGCTCGGCTTCTGCATAACATCATCATCATCTGCCATTTGTTGAAAGCTTGTGTGCTAAAACTCTAACATTTATTTTTAGTATGATGCAGGATTCCTGTGGGTCATTAAAGTCTGAACTTAAATCAAGAAAAAGAACTTGTTGAAATGTTTTGAACAAAAACAATGCTGTGGAGTGAACTTTGAGATGGAGGATTTCACGCTGGCAGAACGGAGAGTTGTAGAGGCTGTTGAACTGTTAAATTGCTGTAGACAGTTCTTCTCTTTAGCGTACAATGTGTGCACGTATGCTTAATATTTTCCCATTATTGAGTTTTTCATATTCTTCCCAACCAAACACATCCAAAAACCCTGCAGCAAACATTTTCTGTGCTCATGTGTGTCAGACAGTAACTGGTGCGTGATTCCTCATTTTATTGATCCAGCTAAGAGAACTCTTTGAACTCATTCACAGAGGTCAGAGGTGAATGTTGGGTGCAAAGTGGCGCCGCTGAAACGGGCGCCATCTCCTTTGAGGTCTCATGAGGTCACGGGGCTGAAAGTGGGGTGCTGGTGGCCCGGTATGGCCCAGTATGACCATACCGGGCCACCAGAGAAAGATGTCATTAGGCATGCAAACCTGCTCATTAACCACTACTGGCAGAGCTATTAAATGTTAAATGAACCAACCCTTTATGGTTTGATGATTTGAGTATTTCTGGCATTTTAAGTGACAGTAGCCGTAGATTTGTGATGATGCTACAGAGGATTAGTGCTACGAGTTCAATACACATGAGCTCCCCGACGATGCTCACATGCACGCGTGTGGTTGAGTTGGCTGTCAAGGATTGATTCATGCCAGAAATTCAATTTGTTCTACACATGTGGGGGGAAAAAGGTCTCATCCTGTTCCCTCCTTTCACAGTAAAGGTCTCTTCTCGCATATTCTCTGTTGTGATAGAGTAAGTCATGCATTAATAACTACTGCTTAAATTGTCAAATGTATTTCTTTAAATCAAATTAATTTGAGTGTTGTTCCTGCAAATGTTTCACAATAAAAGCCTCATTAAGATGTGAAGGGTTTCTGTACACTTACAAGTGCTATAGGACTTTCAATTCGAAATATACAAGAAGTGTTGAGATTGTAAGAAACAACAAAATGAGGCGACTGTAACAGAGAGACTGAGATTTTTAAAAAAACTAAATGGGGCTAATTAAAATTGTCCTAGCTATCTTTAGCTACTCAGGTAAAGTTAGATAAATAAAATCAGAAAAACATTATACTTGAAACAAAGTCTAGGACTAACAAACAGACAGTAAGTTATTGAAAGAAACGTATTCCTTTATACAGGAATGTGTTTCTTGGTCTGTTATTAGGTGACAAAAATGGTTTGCTTGTTGGTTGGTTGACGGAGGTGATGGATTTAAGAAAAGGTGTGGTTTGGTGAGCTGGCAGGACGCTGCCAGGCTGTTGGCTGTCACAGTGACTGATTGAGTCAATAAACGATGTTGACTCAGCAGCTGTGTTTGCTGTAAGACCTGAATGGATCATTGAGAGATGACTTTCACTGAAACTCAGATGCTGAAGTCATGCTCTGGTTTACTTGCATGTGTGTGCCTTAATAACTCCAGGCTGATTGGTGATCCATGATATACAACCTAGGAATGTGAGCGATCAACAGCACTTCCGTTATAAAACACTAATTTTATTGCGTCCCTGATGAATTTGTCAGTTTATTCAAATAAATTTCAAACCTGACTTTTGCTGAATTAAAATAGTGAATTTCATCAATAACCTGTTCTGTGAACATTAAATGTGCTTCATTGTCTTTGTCTCTCTCAGGTCTGGATGACAGCCTGCAGCAGTACATCCCATCCTTCCAACAGCTGCAGGTGGATGGGGAGAAGCTGCTCAGGATGTCCCACCAGGAGCTGCTGTCTCTGGGCGTGGCGAGGGTTGGACACCAGGAGCTGATCCTGGAGGCCGTGGATCTGCTCTGCGCTCTGGTCAGTTAGAAATCAGAAAATCCCACATTCTCTTTTTATTTCTGATAACGTTCCTGTTTAGAAATGTTCCTCTACTATATAACTGTGGATTTCAGTGTCCGCTGTCATCACTCATGAGTCAGCATGTTAAATATACCCGTTTCAAGTCCTTTGAGATATGTCTTTAGCAGTGTTGAGCTCCAATTCTTGTTCAATCAAACAATTTCTAATGATGCTGATGAGAAACTGCCAAAGCTTCTCTCTGTGTGAGACTCTGCTGAGATGGTGTCTGGACCACACAAACACCTGCCTTGTGTTACAAACCATAAAAATGTTGTAGGCGAATGCATGCACTGGAGTTAACTGAGTTAGCAGTTAGTAAAGAGAAGATCTCAATTTGAGCTTCACAGTTTGAGCTTCCATCCATTTTTGGCCACTTGTCATGTTTTTCTGGCTTGTCCTGGGAGTCCACTCCAGGGGAGACTCAGGACTGGAAATGCCTTGGAAAGTCTGGAGAGTCCAAGAAGGAGGGAGGTTTGGGAATCTTTGCTTAGACTCATTGGCTGATGCTTATAAGTTCAGCAGCAGAGCAGAAGATGATCCTTTTCTGTCCATCACTAATGGCAGTGCTTTAAACCTTGTGTAAAAGTTTCTACAGCAAAGATTTGTTTCTTTTAAACAAAAGTTTCAATTGCATTTAAAAACAGCACCACAGCTACCACCATGCACATTACACGCTGCCTGAGGGGGCTTTAAAACAGCTCAGTGTTCATCATAACAATCATAAGACCAGTGCTGTGATCAGAATCCTACTGCGTCTGATATATTTGGACAGTTTTTCTCAGAAAGTCTGAAAACTGAGCAAGAGAGGGATTTTCTAGGAAACTACAGAGTTTATCTTCAGTTTTTTAGGTTTAATGCCACAAATGAATGAAAGTTGAGCAGTAGTTTGTGTATCTCAGGCCCTAATGTGATTCTCCTGTTGTGCCCTTTAGTGGAACTGAGTTTTAGTTTAGTCGGTCGTGGCTAAAAAGTTCTGTATTCCTGTTTTCACTCAAACAAATCAATGGCAAACATTTATATGATTTCTAAAACAATTGTTTCGCTGTGAAACACAGAGCTGTGTGATATGTTTTTAATGCCCAGAAGGTGTCAAACAGGAGCAGAAATCTTTGTTTAAAAGCACGTCAGTTATGCATGAAAATCAGTAATGAATGAAATAATCAGTGACTTGAGCCGATGACACGTGGACATTGAAACAAAGAGACGACAGAAGAGTAAATGATCCGGTGACTCAGCATGGAGAACGTCATAAGAGGAAACTTCATCTATCAGAGTTAATATTGGAAGGAAAACAGAAAGGGTAGCAGTGATGTTGAAATGAAATTATCCTGAAAGTCACTCCAACTTAGGCTGGTTAACCATATCCAGACACAAAGGTGGAGTTAACTAGCAGGTAGGTTGGTTTGCAAAAGGCAGACTGTATGTGCGAATCACCTGACCCTGAAAAACTAACATTGAGGCTTCATAATAGCTGTGTGGTGGCTGCAGTCTTTGGTGTGACCCGTTCAAAGTTTGGAAGCACACACAGAGCCCCTCAGTCAGCTGTTTATGGGCTCTAACGTCTGTGTGGTGGTGAAAAGGGGGATTTACAGGCTGTGCTGAGGTTTAATGTTGTGACTGGCCTGAATAGGATTCAGTGGCTTTTTTTAAATGGAGACTGACACTCTGCTATACCCGCCAACAAATGGTGACAATAAAAGAACAAGTGACCACAACAGACCCTTATCAACCGCACTAACTACAAATTACTGTGTCTACCGTATCGACCTTTCTCCAGTATAGTTGTTCAGATTGTCTGACTGCTGTCTGATAATATGACATTTACATGCAGACATCTGTTTGTAACTGAACTTTTCAATGTTTGTTTAAATGTGAAAAGTATTAAAACACAGAATATTTTATTGGCTGAAGATAAGATTCCTAAAACTCCCAACATTTCAGGGAAAAGTCTTTTTTTATATATATTTTTATATATATTTTTTATATATATGGCTTTTCCTCATGACAGCCATCCCTCAAGAGTTTGTACATTAAAAGCAATGCATTGTCCGGGATTGTAACATTTAGTCCTTTACTGAATCAGTGGAATTGTTAGTACAGTGGGGGATTTGCCCAAATAAATGACAATTTATTTGCTTCTGGTTTATAACAGCTTTGTCTGTCATATGATTCAGTCTTTAGGAACGTCATAAGGAAAGGCAACTTAAAGAGTGCTAGTCAGACCCCTCCTTATACTGTTTTGTGTTTGCAATTAGCTGATCTTTATTAGATTCCTGACCCCAGGTAAGGCTGAACAACCTGACACTGACAGTAGTGTATTTCAGAGCTTTAGTCTGTATCCCACATCCTCCCTCAGCCATATGACGGGAACAAGCAACGTGTCATTTCCTGAAATGCTTTCACTTACCTCTGGAAAAATACAGTTATGACATCACACTGAAACTAACCAATCAATGCTGCGATCAGAGCACACACAGCTCCAAAGTTTCAGGGAGCATTTTCCTGCAGCATTCAAGCGAGGTCAAATGATGTGTTGTGGGTATTTTTTGCAGTATGAGGCAGAGTTTGCTGCATTTTGGGGTGGAGCAGGAAACAGATGTGACCCTCCCACCTGTCAGAGACCCCCCCACCCTTCCCCTGACACACACACACATTCAAACACAGTTTTCAGCATGTAGAGGAAGAGTTTTGTTCCAGCGTCGTGTCACATGATCAGTTTTCAACTGAGGCTCATTTAACAGAACAAGAGAGGCTTTTTCTCTCCCGACTTTAACCCTCAGTACATACCACAGACTTATTCTGATAATTGGAGTGACATTAGGCAGCCACAGGCTCTTAATGACCCAGATTTTGTGTAACAATCATGATGCATTCAATGATCAGGGAGGCCTGCAGTTGGGTTCACCGCTGTTGAGGGAAAAAGATGTTTTTGTTTCAGCTCAGGTCTCCTGATTGACTGGAGGCAGCCGTCTCTGTTCTACAACAGACGTAAATTAGAAATGTAAAAAGAAATTACAGAGATGATGCTCTGGGGATAATAATGTGGAAGAAAAGAGGAAAAGAGCATTGTTTTATACTGACAGTTACATTAAACATTTTCTATAGATTTTGATGTGTTTGGCATATTAATTTATCCAGATGTTGCCAAGATTTGTGGTTTATGTTGCATTTTATAAATTATGTTGTGTGCAGATTGTATAATTGTAAATAATTTGTTGGTTCAGTTTGTTCAAATGTGCAGATTGGGTACTTTCTCTGTTTTTGATGACCTTATAAATTTTGTTTTTTGTGCATACAAACGTTATGACAAGACAATGATTGATCTGTAATACTTCTAGAGATCTTTCACTTCAGTGCTGTCATTTTCAAGTTTTAAAATACTTGAACCTCCTAAAAACCTTCTGATAGTTATGCTCCTTATTTCACTCCATCACAGCCCGGCATCATCCTGAGCTCTTTTCTGATTGACACCTAGGGATCACATCTTTTCTAACACGATTTGAAAGTTCTGCCTGAAACATGAGGTCAGGTGTCATGTTGTGTTATGAAGGATGTGTTTTCTGCGTTCAGTCAAGGTGGAACGTCGATTTGGCTCCAGATGTTTTGTTTGTCTTTGAGCGTCATGACGCCTCAAACATCTGAATCGCTGCAGGCGACAAAGCGAATCAAAGGTCGTGTTCAGACCTGCAGCTGTAATAACACAAAAACGTAACACATCTGCACTTATTCATAAAAATAAACAAAAAGGTATCAGATTTATTAAACTGATTAATTAAACACGTGGCATTGATGAGTCATTTCACTGTGAGTCATTTAGTTTGAAGTTGATGTGGTGGGGATTTTTTTTTTTTTTTTTTTAGTCGCATAATCGCTATGGCGACTGGTTTGCAGGAATGTGTGTGGGGTTTTTGTGTGTGTGTGTGTGTTTTCATTAGGGAGACGGGGTGTGTTTGTGGTCAAGGGTCATGGGAATCTCTAAATTCCCTCCAATCATTCCTGAACATTGTTGTATGTTCTCAAACAAAAAGTACTTTGAGGTGCAAAACACAATGTGGACTCCTCAAACTGCAGCTTTGTGCAGTGTAACGTTTGTAACGCAGTGCCTCTTTCAGAGTTTCCTGTGGCAGCATACTTGTGCTAAGGTTAGTGAGCCAGGAAATAGTGACAGTGCTGATGGGAAGTGTAGTCTTTATGTTTAATAACTGAGTAAGAAGCAGGTTTGTTTCACTGAATCTTTCATCTTTCTTTAACAGAACTATGGCGTGGAGTCGGACAACCTGAAGACTTTGGTGGGGAAGATGAGAACAGCGCACCACAACCTGAGCAGCGCCGTGACACAGCGCAGGAAGAACCCCGCCTACCACAGCAAAAATTCCAATCAGCCCACCAATGAATTCCTCACCGCCGTGGTCGAACTGATCGGCACCGCCAAGACTCTGCTGGCCTGGCTGGACAGGTAACCACGACGGCATTCAGAGTATCCTGGTGTTAAAAACGAAACATTATTTGCTCATTAAAACAACCGCGATCTCGTAAAAAGCATAAAAATAAAACTGGATACCATGATTAGTAGAAAGAGTACTGGTTCTCCACAGCTCGGGCCATGCGAGTCCCATCAGCATCATGATAGTCATCAGATGTCATCAGTTGATGTTTTCATCCAGGCTTTCTTTTGGATTTGTAAATTTCGCTGTACTTGCATAATTACTCACACAACACTTTCACTAACATGGCATTTGTTTTTATTAACGTGTCAGTCAGAAGTTCACTAATAACGTGCAGCTCAGTGCACAACTTTGTTCCTTCTAAGATAGTGGTTGTACTCTCCCCTCCGTTCTGATTATTTTAGTATCGTGTTTCCTCGCAGCGCTGCTCCAGTTTACTGCATCGCCGCTTTGACTCCTTCAGCTTTTTTGCAGCTTGTATCAGCTTGAAACACATTCCAGCTTGGCTGCAGCAGCTGGAAACAAACATGGATGCCCCATAATGCACCTGACATCTGAAGTGTGTCAGCTCGCTCACCCAGAAACACCTGGGGCCACTTTTTATTCAGTGTGCATCCAGTTATCTCATCCAAAATGTTTTCATACTCGATATGTTTGGGTTGGAACAGCTATTATGATCTGAAGTTAATGAAAACTTACAGAAAGTCAAATTTTCATTAATTTCTTTGATGTTCTGTCCTTTTTTAAAATGTATTTTAAAGTGTTCATCATTGCATGCTGTTTTGTTTCACTGTTTTGCACTTGCTTACCATTGGCTGTTCAGTCGATCAGTCTGAAGCAGTAAAAGATCAGAGGTAGTGTATAAATAAAGACCGAATAGTCCGCGGCCCTGCTCGTATTTTGAATCCGTTTTAAAACGTTGCCCTGTTGTCTGCCAGCACTGACACGATTCTATAATTTTAGTTTCTCTCTTCTTGCTAGGACTCCTCTGTCGAGTGCCAATGACTTCACCTCAACCAAAGGCAAGATCATCCAGCTGTGTTTGGAGCTCACCTCCACCGTCCAGAAGGTCAGTGACGCTCAGACGCTGCTCTGTGTTTTCTTCAGTGTTTCTGTGCTTTCCTGAGTAATTAACAGATCCACTCTGGGAAATACACATTTCCACAAATCCACATGAGACCTTAAAAGAGAAACAGATCTCTGATGTTCTCTGTGTGCAGCAACTTGTCATAAAGACACATCACAGAGAGGAAGGAGGTCATGAACTAAAATGTTTATTTTCTGGATCTGTTGTTGTTGGTGGTGATGATCATGAAGAAGCTCCAGATAACTACTGTATACATGAACAAAGTCATTTTGATGGCATATATCCTTCCGATAGCTGTAATAAACCAAAACAAACAAGAAACTGAGATCCTTACATGTTTCATACTTTAGAAACTTTGAGATTATTACTAAAATGTAAATGAAAGCACAAGATGTGGAACTGCAACAAAACCAGTTTATGGAGAGTGGGAAATGTCAAGTTTGTGTCCTGAATACATTTTAAAAGTTTTATTTATAATTAAGAAGCACCCCAATTCTGTGAAGACGTATATTCATGCACCATCCAGCAGCTGCTGCCCAAAGAACATGTCATCTAAGCAGTTTTACACTTATTAAGGGACAGAGTAAGCTATAGACTGTATTTAAAAGATGGACATACCCCTGATGTCTGCCTCAGTTTTCACATTTTGGTAGTCCACTTTACTGGAGCCAGAAGTGACCATTTGGTTGAGGTAGTGGATTGCTAAGTTATCAGCTAATGCTAGCTGGCTTGATTATAAAACCTGCGAATTTCTCTTAATTTCAATGTCTTTACCACACAGAGGAATAATATTTGTCAGAAAGTTGAATTAAAATGCTCTAAACGCACTGACAGCAAAAACATAGTTGGGAAGTTTACCTGAGGTGAAGCCTAACAAACGGAGACTGGCTACAACCACTCACGTGCTTTTCACCTGTCATTTAAAGTGACAGCCCCCTAATTATACACAAACATAAACTAATACCACTTAAGAGACTTTTTAAAAAATTCACTCACTGTACAGTTACCACGAGGAGGGAAATTAGTGTCACAGAACAGTTTGTTTCACATCTCCTGCTTCTCAGCTATCAGTTATCCCATAAAGAAAAGTGAAAGAAATCAGGTTTTCTCAGCTCTGTCAATGCTAAATCCACAGCTTAAGGATCTATTCTATTCAAAGTCTTGTGCAACCAAGCATAAAGTCATGAATCAGTGATGAATTGTATGTAACCCTTTACATCGTTGCAGAGTCTACCTGAGGCAGTCGTGCTGTTACACACAAAATATGAGGGAACTAATTGTGTGAGAAGTTCAAACATGATGCATATTAATGCAGCTGAGGCGTACAGACATGTTTTATGCAACGGCAGAATACTTCAGCTGCAAATCAGCCAGACGTTTCATTAGTTTGGAACTTTATAATTTCCTTTAGGGACGGCAGAAGTTTGTTTCAGAGCTTCACATTTTGCAATAAGCTGATTTCTCTTCATTTATTGAAGTATTCCGAAGCGGCCGTGCACTTGGATGTTTTCTGCAGCGTGCCACCTCCCTGCATGTGTCTGCAGAGCTTTCTGAGGCGTCGCCCTGCTGCGCTGTCATGCAATCATCCTGTCAGCGTGTTTACGGGGAACTGTTATTTCTCCGACCGCAGCAGGAATCCTCTCGGTGTCTCTGGGAGGCGTTCACCATCCCTGCCTCCTGGTTTCACTCTCCTGTAGGCTGTCATTTCTCAAATATTTGTTTTGCCGCTGATTCCCTTTCTCCTTTCCCGTGTCTGTTTGCCACACTCACAGTTCTGGCTTCTGAATGGAAAACCTGCCAAATTTGATATGAGCAAGTTCTCCTTTTCCCCAGATGTGAAAATGCTCCACTGCATCTGTTTTCTGAAACAAAAAACTTCTTTAACCATCAAGATGAAAATATTCTGTCTGCTGTACAGTAACATGATATTAGCCTGAAAGTTCTTTCCAAATACAGAGCAAAATAAAAATAAATTTACTGTCGTCATGACTTTTAATTCTCTTCCATAACTAATTGTAAAGGTATGACTGTCAAGGCGAGACCCCATACAAAACACAGCTGTAGTTGTTTGGCACCAGAATGTTGTGTGGAGAAAGTCTTATTTGGCAAATGATTAAAAAATTACAATATTAGAAAATTGATCAGAAAACAGTAAGAATAGGAGTTAAAGAAGAGGAGGGTGAAGCATTGATTGATTGCCATCACTGAATGACATTGTATGGAGATTTTGTTTGATATCAGATTTTACAAATTCAGTCTTCTAACCTGAAATATTACCAAGGACATCCAGACTTCAGATCTGTGTTCATGAACTTCTCGTCCATCCTGACACCTAATTCAATTTAGCGTGAACAGTATTTGCTTTTGAAGCAATACTAAATTGGCTCACATAGTTTAATCATGTGACTCTGTTTTCCTTACCAGCATGGGTAATTTCCCAACTCTTATCAGTTGTTTTTGTGTCATACACCACTTCAAAATAAAAGCATAAAATTAAAAAAACCAAAGGCAGGGGCTGCCTTGTTTCTCTGATATTTTTCTGTTTTTTGTTTTCTCTCACAGT